GCAGGATGGGGAGACACTAAACCAGGCTGCCTAGAGAGGAGGCGGAGGCCCCATCCTCCCCCCCAAAAAATTCATTTTTTTTCTTTACAGGGCTTTTTCAGAACCTCTCGACTGCGGAAGCCGAGGGCCATTGCTTGAGCTGCACTGCCCTCTAGAGGTTTCAGCCCCAACTATCGGTTTTGTTGCGCAATTTCGGAAATTTTTGTGCGATTCCCTTCAGGCAACTTAAGGATAGGCAGATGCCTGGACATCTTGCCCTGCCAATATCTTGGGAGGCGGTTGGAAAAAAATAGGTACCATCCGTCCCTGCAGCCAGACGCACATTAAAGTCATTACATTTTGGTTATTAAAGCTAGGAAAAAACGAAGCCATTGCGGTGGGGATATAAAAAGGAGAGCGCGTGCCTGGGTTTTTCTAAAGCCCACGAAAAAGCAGCTGCTTTTTTTTTTCGAGATGTGTTTGAGCAGAGAACTTTAGCAGAGACTACTGGGTTATTTTTAAGCAACTTCTGCCTCAAAAGATACACAAGGCAAAAGGCGATGTACTCGCTGTCTACGCGTAGCCCGTACCACAGCGACGAACGTGAGAGGAGTCCTCAGGAGCAGGGTGGGATGGAGAGAAGCAGGAGGAGGAGGAAGAGGAGGAACAGGAGCGTAACAACCTTCCACCCTCAGGAAAAAAATCCCTTTTTATGACAAAGGTGACGTTTCTAGGATGGGATACCCTGCCCCCGTGGGGCACCTGCCCTGGCTTCTGCCCCTTCCAGCTCAAGCTCCTGGTATTTAATTTCATTTGTATATCATTCTTTATTATTGTTTTATTAGAGCTGGTTCAGTTTTACAATCCCTAAGACTCCCAGCCTTATCCCCTTTTCTTTTTGGGGAGGTTATCAGAGAGCATCCCTCACTCATTTAGTGCCTGGCCTGAACCCCCGACACCGGGGAAGAGGGAGGAGGAGGAATCCCCGCGGTGGATGAAGGGGATTAATAATCCGAAGGGTTGGAGCAGGCTGCCCAGGGAAGTGGTGGAGTCACCATCTGTGGAGGCGCTCGAAAAACGTGTAGACGTGGCCCTTAATTAATTATCAATCTTTTCGGAACTGAAATACCTGGCAACAGCTACGCAGGGGAAGTCACTCGCAGCCCCGCTCAGGAACTCTCGGGTCAGCGATTACGTGACACAGCTCTGGAATCAGAATGAGTCCAAACTGTTAGTAAATCCAATTAATTATCAGTAAGTAATGACGTGCTTTCATTTGTCTTCACTCCTTTCTCATTTTTACCAACCAAACCTTTTAACTTGGCGTGTGGAAAAAGTTACCGGACGTTCCCAAAATGCCACCTTGAGGAAATCCACCGAATCAGTTTCTGGCTGCTTGGAATATAATCATTTATTTATCTTTACAGTGATGACGGAAGAATGTACAGGTGCTTTCACCCATAGGTATAAAAATCTGTTTATATACAGAGTCACAATAATCTTTTCATCGGGAAATCGCTCTGTTCTCCTGATCCATTCTTTTACTATAAACCACAGGAAAAAAAAAAACAAACAACAAAACCCAAAAAACCCAAACAAATATTTAGTACAGGCAATAGAATTCCAGTAGGTTTGCAACCTGGCATCAAAAGCTCAGCTTTAGATTAAAGGGTAACGTTCGATACTTAAAAAAGGACTTTGAGTCGTAGGACACAAAATAAAGTTGCTTTTCAAATAAGATATATACATCAAAAAATAGGAGTCTAAAAAAGGCATTGGTTTTAATGCTATTAGAAAGCTCTAGAAATGTGCATTGGGTCTGTTTCTTCTTATAACGAAAGACCGAAGGAGAAAGTGCCTCGTCTTTTTAGGAAGTTCCTCCTGGGAGAAGTCAGTTCAGAGTACCTGTAAGAGAGAAAGTAAGAAGCTTGTTTGGAAAAGCGAAGGCTGGTGGCTACCGCATCAAATCAAACGACTTTTTTGGAGCCCTTCCGGCCACGTTTCGGTTCCATCAGTAGTTTGTTAAGTGGGTTATGAAAAAAATGGACGCAAAAAGATCGCAGCCTGGATAAAGGGAAAGGAAACTCAAACAACTTGCATTATTTCAAGCTATTTTAACTAATTTGCTTACTCGGAAGTTTTGTTCGAGGCTGTAAATTTTAACTAATTCGCTTACTCGGAAGTTTTGTTCGAGGATGAAATTAAAGCCAGCTAGGGCAAAAAAAAAAAAAAAGGGAGTTTTAGAGAATATATAATGGAAACAAGAGAATGAATCACCATTTTACTCCAGATAATTGAAAAAAAAATAAAGTTTTTTTTAAGGAAGCGGCAAATCCACAGATCAGGCCTATGAAGAGGCAGAAGATACAAGAAGATGCCTTAGAAAATGAATATGTAGGAGTATGATTTGTTGAAAAACAAATGGAAAAGTCTGAGCAACTGGGGTCATTTTACTCAACCCGGTTTTGAAGAACAGACTTGGATCGCTTTGATACTTCACATCAAGCCTTAAGTGCCAGAAAACACACCCACAACAGTTTCTAAGGAGTGGGTCTTTGCCGTAAGGGATGAAAACCACTGTTGAGGTTTTTTTTCCTCCTCTGTGCCTCACCTGATTTCTTTTTTTTACGCCTCGTCTCCGTTATCCATTTCCACGTCTATATCTTTCGTCGTGTCGGCCGCCCGCGACAAGATATCCGCCATCAGCGCTTCCTCCAGCTTTTTGCGCACTTGTTGCACCCGCTCTTCTTGTTTTCTGAAGGGAGAGGAGGGGAGCTGTTAACTCACAAAGCTCAGAGAGTAACCTCTCAAACCCCGGGGCAGAAAATCAAATGAAAGCAAAGATACCTTCGCTTGCAGAGAACCTGCGACGCAGGAGAAATGACAAGTTAGGGGGGAAAATTCAGTGTTTGTTAACGGGATGGAAAAACGATCCCAAGAGTGCGCAGGGGCTTCAGTAGGGTTTTAAAAAAATAAAACTGCAATAAGAAGTTGTCACCATCTCGCTGTCGGAATACCCTAAGACCCAAGCAATGAAATGGATTTCCTTTTTTCCCCTTTTTGACTTTAGAAAACAATCTTGCAAAAGAACCCAAACCGAGCAAGACAAAGGGGCTGTTGCAAACCAAAAGGTGGGATTTTTGGAAGGGGTTTCCATGCTTTAGGAAAAGAAACCCCCTGCAAACTGGAAGCTTTAGAAAAATCTCGCCAGAGAGACATTTGAAAAGACTCTCTCAAGAGAAACGATCTCACAGAGTCGGTATGGGAGAAGATGGTTAATAAGGAATTCTAAAAACCTGCCTTAGGAGGCTCAGATTTGGATGTAAAAACCACTGGGACCCTCATTTTACGTTTCACGAGACTAGAATCAAGAAGCTCAGAACGATTTAAAAGGTGTGAAGATGAAAAAATAAAAGGGATGACACGACTGCGTCCCACACTCCGGTAATTAGTGGATGCAACAAGAAATCCTCTCTCCTTGCTCAGTCCTAACCTTGAAATTCAGTACTCGAAGAAGGATGAGTCTTGAAAATGAACAAAAAATTAAAACCCACAAGATCTTCGCCCACATGGGAAGAGAGCTGGGCTCTTCGTGTCCTCCTATGGTCGGACTCGATGATCTTAAAGGTTTCTTCCAAGCAAAGAGGAAGAAACGTGCTTTAACCGCGCTCGCTTTGCAGTTCACTCACCGAATATCGTCGTCCGTGACAATGAAAGCTTTGCAGAGGGGTTGAGATGTGTTGAGCCACACGGCCGGGTTCTTCTCAACGGCCGCCGAGAGCTGCCCCGTGATGGGCGCGGAACTGGTGTGCAAAGCGCTGGCGACGGCCGATAACAGGGTGTCGTCGTTGTTACCGGGGCCGACTCCTAAAACCGGAGAGAACGGAAGAGTTATCGCCTTGCGTCCGTAACTCTCGTTAGGTCTTGAATTAATTCTGGGAAAGAAACGCCGGAGATTTGTAGGACATTCAAAATTCCCATGAGAATCTCCCAAGCAGTGGGACAAATTTTGAACGAGGACTTGAAGGTATTTTAGGTCAACTTTCACCAGTCAGAGCACAGTTCTGACGTGTGGTTTCTGTTGAACTAAAACTTAAGAGCGTGAAAAACTCTTTAAGCCGAAACGATTTTGCGGTTCTGAAGCAACTGAGGTTAAGTGAGCGCGATACCTTGTAGACCTTTTGGTAGCTCCATGGATTTTATGATTTGTTCGCTGACGTCCGACGCGCTGAGGCCTTGTAACCTCTTCTCCCAGAAAAGCTGAAGAAGAGAAAACAAGATTGTTCATGAGAAATAATACATAAAATTTAAAAACCCGCTAAATCAGCTCATGGTTCATGGAGAAACCTTCCACCAGATTGCTCCACGTTGCTCCAAGCCCCGTCCAGTTTGGGCTTGAACACTTCCAGGCATCCACAGCTTTGTGAATAACGGTGAATTATAATCTAACTCGTAATCTCTGCAAAAACAATCTCTTAGGCAACAAAGAGAGGATAATTAGGCTCTCTACTGCAAAACCCACCAAACATAAACATCTTAGGAGCTGTTCCTTTTCCTTAGATAAATAAAAGTCGATTCGCAGTTGCTCGAGCAATGGAAGCCTCGAGGAAACCTTTGCTGGAAAGGAAGCCGTTGAAATTCTATTATTTTTAAAAGAAAAGCACGTTAACACTCAAACATTCCTGGAGGGTGACTGATTTAGGCATAAATCAATCAAAACCCTTGAATTTCATCAAGCTCTTCTCTTCCAATCAAAATTGCAGCGTTCCTTGAGCTGCCTGGGAGAGGAAGAGGAATTTTAACTATTGCATCGGGTTCCTTCCACCCCTTTTTTTCAAGGATTCTAACGCATATTAACCAATAACCTTGAGTCTTCCAACCCACAGGAAAGAAAATCACATCTATCGGACCAAACGCGGAGTGCCGAGAGCTAAACGTGTCTTTCTTGTCAAGAAGACACACATAACGTGACATCTTGCAATCTTTTTTTCTCAAAAATTAGGCTTTTTATACTGCATAGAGCTTATGTCAAAACGCCGCCACGGTCAGATTTAATTTGCCAGCTAGAATCTTATTTGATGATCCATTATAACACAACCCACCGCTAAGGTACGTGACAGTAAGTGGAAAAGCGACTTGCAAATCCTTTTAAAACTGTTGTTCGGTGTTTTTTTTCCCTTTCCTTGCAGGACTCACTAAGCCATCTTTGAGGTTTCCTTTTCTCACAGTGGTTTATCAGTGAGAGGGGAAAAAAAACCAACTAAGCCACAGAAACAGTAAGAAAATCCAACTTAAGGAAGCTTACGGAGGGTCAAAATATTTTAAGATGCTCGTCTCGCAGAGCTTGTAAAAGGCTTAAATGACCTCAGGACGTGCATCGAACTGGCAGTTGCCATGAAAAGTTGTTGGCTCTGGTTAGACCTTTTGAAAAGGTAGAACTGAAAAAGCTTTCAGAGATGGATACCTGGAACTACAGAGGCAAGAATCCCTTCTGGGATTTGGGCCAAGAATGGAAGAAAGAGGGAGGAAGGGCGCTGGAAGTGGTAAATGAGTAAGATTTGTGTACAAATGGGCAACGCAGCCGGTGTTTCAGCATTCAAATATCCACCACTGATAGAGTTTGCGCCGAAGAAGAAAAACGAGAAGAAACTGTAGGGATTATTTATGTAAGAAAAATATAGGTTTTGTCTGGAGGGGAGGAGGTTTCGAATACATTTGCAAGGCTGCATTTGCCCAACAATCGGATCTCAGGTGCTCCGCACGGCACAGGCTTGATGAAAAATAAAGTTTCCCAGCAACTTCAGTCCTCCCTCTGGCTTTCCCTGCTTCATCTCAACAGATCACGCATCAAGAGAAGAAGAAATTTGTTTCGAAGATGCAAAAAAGGAGAAAAGTTCGATTGGAAAAGAATGCCGACACGGGAACAGCAAGCAACGATTCCTCGGAGATTTTGCTATCGCTTAACCTGTTAGAATCTATCTGAAGGAGGCAAAGATTTAAATTGGGTGGGTTTGAAAGGAGCCTGTTCTCCAAATCTTGACTCAAATGACACGGATGCCTTCTCAAAGCTTTCAGTCGCTACGTATCTGAAGAAAAGTGTTTGAATTTGCTGGCAGCAATGCTTTGCCTCCAAAAAAATAGAAGTCAGACTTAAAAAAATATATATCCAATATGGATTACTTTTTCTAGCCGATCGTTCGCTCGTTGACTTTTCATCATGGCTCCCTCCTCCCCACAAAAACATAAAAAAGATGAGTTTCTGTTACAATCCTTTGCTTTTCTAGTAGCAGAGAGAAAGAGAGGGATGTAAAATACATATTTATTGGTTTTGCATGAAATTCTATACAAAAGAGATATTACTTGTCAATAAGAACTGCGGATTTTACAGAAACTTCTATCAAGGAGCTGCATATGAAGGTGTTTTTGTCGTTTATATCTGATTGCAGCATCTATCGGAATTTCAAGGGGAACGCGGTACTCAAATGCAAACGACATTTTGGCTTAAGAAATATTAAGCTCCCATTAACTCACTGTTACTCCTGTATATTTATGTTTTTTAAAAATATGTATTTGTCTGCAGGCAACCTTCAAGCCAGGAATTCTGCTCTGCAACTGAAGCGCAGCTGAAAACAAGCACATTTTCAGCTCGTTTCAACCTCCCGAGCGGCAACAACGGGGAGAGATTAATTCTTACCTGTCGTGGCTGCTCCGTCACTCGCTGCGGATCCGACCGGACTTTGTTACTAGGATGATTGGTGACTTTGGTGACGGGCTGTTTGAAAATCGAGGCGGTCTGTCTGATCGGTAAAGTCGTATTTAAGTCTGGTTTTCCCTGTTTAAGAAAAAAGAATAAAACCAAAAAAAAGTGAATTAATACAAATTATACGGAAAAAGTACCCAAATTAATGTTGGGTTCATCCTCTTCTACTGAAGTGCAAAAGGAGTCATCCATGTAAAAAAAAAAAAAAAGAAAATAAAGTAACACTCTAGTGGTTCCACACATTTTTCACCTTCTCAGGAAGAATCCAACTTCTTGAAAGTCCACCTTGCCTTTTGTTAAAATATACGTTAATTGTAATTTCTTAACAACTGAAATAAGTCCCTACTTGTTAGTTTTTTTCACCGCTGTGACTGAAAAGCCACGTCCTATTGACACAAGAAGGACAATGAAAATAAATATGCCGTGATACGTATTTTCCCAATCCGAGTGTATCAAAAAAAAAGGGCAAGTTCACTCTTTTGCAGGATGGTCTTAAGCACCTCAGAACGTTTAAAGGAAGAAAAAGAAGTTCTTATGTGATATTTCAGAAGCTTTACAAGTGGCTCAAAAGTGACACAATGAACATCAATACCAGATTCTATCCAAGGATCAGGTTAAAAGAGTTTTTCATTAGGCTATAGTTGTATTTTTTTTCTTTTTTTTTGAGAAAAAACCACCTCCAACTATTTGATTCCTCGCTTGGGAGGGGGAAGAAGTAATGGAAGAGCCTCTTGAGGATGGTACGGCACTGTTAGATCCTTCCTGGTAGGAAAAAGAAGGAATTCCTCCAGGTAATTCTACAGAATGGAGCACCAAAATAATGTTTGGTATTTATCGAGGCAGCTCAATGCAACGGTTATAACATTTCTGGCCTCGGTCATTCATGCCAATGGCAAAGACGGGGATTTATCGAGACTAATGATTAATTATTCAACAGTAGGACTCGATTCAGACACTCATTTTGGTGATTCCATAGTAAATATTGATTTGCTCATCCTCTCCTAAAAGCCAAATCTTTTTTTTTTTTTCCCCAGACCAACAACAAAACAAAATCCACTAGAACACACAGCTGAATTCTGACAGAGTTCTAGAAATCTGGAAACAATTCTAATCCCAGGCGTCTATTCCTGTCGCTCCTTTGAATCTCTCTCATTATTTTATAGGTCCCTTTTCTCCATCTTTTCCAGGTTAACTCATTAAAATCCAATCAAGGAAATTCTGTGCAAGTTTGCCGCAGAAATTTAGGCGCTTGCCATTTTTGCTCTGCAAATTACAGTCATTTTCGGTGCACAAATCTGGCTTCTAAGTTACATTTTTGGCTTATAAATTACAACCCGGCCTCCCCGCGTCTTGCAATATTACGGCTTTCGAAGGGGAAATACCTGCCGAGCTCTCCATCCACCGGCAGAGCACTCACGTGGACTTAACGTTGCACAAAATATGAACTCGCCTCACACTGCAGAACTTAATCCACGCCGGAACCTTGACAGACCTCTGCCTCTCCTGATCTTGTGACATCCAGTTCAAAGGAGTATTTAAAGCTTTTAAGTCCAGGCCCCCGGGGCATTCTGCGCAGTAGCAGCATTAGTGGTAAAATAGCTATTAAGACTGGTAAAAGCAATAATATTGCAGAGCCATCTGCCACGCGGGGAGCGGGGGGGATAAATCTGGTTTAGCAAACGTTTTCGGAGCGAGGGTCATCGTTTCAAGTTCACGAGGCTCCTTCTGGTCAGCAACGTGACTTAGAGAGGAGTTAAAAAGGCAATCCGTTAAAGTTAAGGGAAATTAAAAGGGGAGATCCCTTCAGGCAGTGGGAGAAATGAAGAAGATTCAGCTCAATTAATGATAAGGCCCCCGGAATGAAAGCAAAAACCGTGATGAGTTATAAACTCTGCAGGAAATAGAGGTTCAAGGGCTCGATGGCCCATGTTCTTTTTTCTCAAATAGTCATTAAAACAAACTGTTTAAGCTAAGAACAGACTGATCCTGAAATCCTGTCCTTATAACCTCACGGCTTCCACACTTCATTTCCGTTCGAATCGTCGCCACACCTGGGCTTTCCGATCTCATCCTAAACAGTCTCTCATTCACGGTGGTGACTTTTGAAGCAGAGGAACCAACTCCGCAGCGCAGAAACTCGCTCAGCTCGCCCAGCCCCAGCGCCTGCAGATAGATCTTTGCTTGGACAGGGCAAAGAAACAACCACGGATAATTCAGAGAAATTCTCCTCCGCCACAAATCCTAAGGCGGCCGTCTGTGAGATTTCCTCAGGAGCAAGGAAAAGCTGCTTCCAGGACCTCCGACCAGCAACAAGTCACAAAGAGCTCTACAACCCGAGATCTCGACAACAAAGTTCTCCCTCCTGAAGAACAGAGAGCTCTTTGGAGCGAGCAGAAACACCAACGTCCCCTGCGCGGTTTTACTTACTAAGGGTATTTTCTGCTCTAACAGCAGCTTCCAAAAGAATTTCAGTCCGCTATCTTTCCGAAGACGTGTCTTTCCCAGAAGCATCAACGTGCCCCAGACATAAGGAAACCTTTTAAAAATTCAGCGATGAGTTTCCAGGCCTTTCAATAACCGGACAGCGTGTTTAACCAGTACCCTCCATCACGTTTTCTTCTCAAAATAAAGAATTGATGAGCACTCGTTGTCCCTTGTCATCTCTCAGAAGAGCTTGGCTCCATCCTCCCGACACTCACCCTTTACATATTTATCAACAGGTCAGTCCCCAACCTATACGGCCACACGGGGTTGTTCTTTCCCAGATGCAAGACTCTCCACTTGCCCTTGTTGGATTTCATAAAATTTCTCCCCACCCAACTCTCCAGCCTGTGCAGGTCTCACTGGATGGCGGCGCAGCCTGCTGGGGCGTCAGCCGCTCCTCCCAGTTTTGCGTCATCGGCAAACTTCCCGACAGTTCACCCTGTTCCTTCATCAAGCTCACTGATGAATATATCGAATAGTCCTGGTGCCAGTAGTGACCCCTGAGGGACTCCACTAGATAAAGGTCTCCAACTAGACTTCTGATTTTGAGCTTGGAAGCACTTGGAGCCCTGATTGCGAGCTTGGAAGAAGTGGTCCTGGAATATTAACCAACTATTTTGGGCCCCTTTACCTTCTAGTGCTCTGTCCCACGGGCTTTCCCCTCGCAATGGCTTGAGAAGGCCAAAGTTGGCCCTGCTGAAGCCCAGGGTTGCGATCCTGCTTGGTGTTCTGCCACCAGAATCCCACAGCACAGCATCACCCACGCTAGCCTGCCCCTTAATTCTCCCCCACAAACTCTCAACTCGCCCCCGCACAGATTTTTAACTCCTCCTGTGTGATGCCCGTGCTGCGTGCGTTCCCGTAGAGGCACTTCAGCTGTCGGCCGGGTCATCTTCTGGGTGGAACACCCCGGAATTCTCTCAAGGTGTTCTATGGATGTTGGCTCCTACTACCTCGGGAGCCCCTGGTTACACAGGAAACAACGGCACGATTAGTAGTGAAGCGAAACTCCTCCTCTAGCGTAACGAAACCTATCAAACATCTGCCTTCATCGCACACACTGAAACGTACGACGCTAATCTGCTAACGATGAGAGTGGGCAAAATGAGAAGTACGGCAAGACAGCCTTTCCACCCACCAGCTGCCCGGGCACGTCCGCCAGAAAGGACTTCGTTACATTTTGATATTCCTTCTTGAAACTTCAGGGGAGCTAAGGAATCGAGCAACATTTGCAGAAAATTCTTTGTTAGGAAAACAAACAGCCCATAAAATTGTGAGTGGATGCACAAACTTGCCTATGCAGGTCTGGGTTTTATGGTGCCCCAGCAGCAAACCTCAGGAATAAGTTGAGATCTTCTTTTTAACTCGCCCAGGAATATGGCAGAGATTCTTGAAAGCTCAGGAGTTACAGATTCAAGTCACTTAGAAAGAATAAATAATATCTACCTAAAAAAAAACCCCAGATTTTTTTCCCTAATGTTGTATTTAAACAGAGCGACATTCAAGTTGTCAAAGATCACAGGAATACAAAGTGAGCACGAACTCTTCTAGGTTTTATACACCGAATTTTTGTGATTTCTGCTCATGCAAAAAGCCTAACGAAAGCTTTTCCTTGGACTAGCCCCAAATTATTAGAAAGCCTCACGTTGCTGGAAAGAAAATATTAAATCATTCCAACACATGCTTTAATGAAAAAGAAATCAGCATGAAATGTCTGGTTGCCACATTACAAAGGGCAGATGACAAAAACCACCAGCGCACAAGACATAACTGTAACTCGTTCGATATTTTCATGCGCTAAGTTACAACATCCTGAAGAATAAACCACTTGGGGAAAGAAAAAAAAATAAGAAAACCCTGCAGGGTGTTACAGAAACCCTCTCAAACTGTTGTGTGAGGTTTCTAAAGCTGGTTCAGGACCAGATTATATGAGAGTCAGCTAAATTTGTCCCATCCCTACAGGCTACATCGGTTATTTCACTTCAGCCTTTTATTCCTCCTCTACTTCCCACATTTTCTTCAGCACTCCAAAAGGACACACTGTTGCTCAAAAACCCAAATAAGACAATCAGAGAACAAAGGCTCAATTGAGCCAGGCCCAATCTCGAACAGGATAAAAACCCAGCCTTGCTAAGCCGGATGCAGCGTCCAGATTTGTACGGATTTGCCTCAGAAAACAAAACTTCCCAGCACGTATCGCAGGCGTTAAAACCGTGAGTTACTTCATCTCGGAACAGGAAGATGAACATCGCAATCTTAAGCCTCGCACGGGAGAACCTCTCGCCGTTAATAGTCCTAATTTTTCCCGTCTAGAAGGAAATCATTCAGGTAGAAGACTAGCACTGAGGTTCTTAGGCCGACTCCTGAGCTACTCAAACGTTTGATTCGTACTTTAACCTCACCACGGTATTTTCTTGGTAGGAGCAGAGTATTCCTTCTATTGATCAACTTAGGGCTCCACCGCTACTCAAAATTAAACATACGCGCACGTGGTAGGAGCGGCCTGCTTTAAGCAGAAAAGCAACGGCTACACGAGCTATAAGGCAAGGAAATGCGTAGGATTATCCTTAAACACAGTATTTACTAACAAACCTTATTTTGATTGAGAGAATCATTCCTTAGTCTCTGTTTGTTCTTCTGCAATTTACTGGGCATCATCTTTCCCGTTCGGAAGTCAAAACTGCTGAGATCAACAGTGTTTCCCAGGTATCTTGCCAACTGAGGCTTGCTTCTGAACTTCTTACCACTTGGACTAAAAAGAAGAAAACACTTTAGTATGTTTTGTCGTACAAGCGGATAAAACCTTGACTTCTTACAACAGGTTTTTATTGTTCCAGCTCTAAAAGGTCTTTATTCCACGGGGGGGGGCATGACTGACCTCTGCGTATCCACCGGGGACTTAACGTGCTGTGGGGACGTTGGGATACGCCTCGGGAAGGGGGTTTAGCGCTCCGGCTAAACCAAAAAAATACATGAACATCCGAGCGCGGGGTCCTCGCCACGCAATCGCGTGCAAGGGTTAAACTCGGCGCTAGCTAAGGCCAACGTAGACTCAACAGCAACCCTTCTCCGCTCCCAAAAAAGCGAGGCGTTAAGGAGATGAGCGAAAAAAAACTAGGAGCTCAAGTGGCAGGATTTCTCGTGGCTCCTGCGTCACCGAGACCGGCGAGCGAAGCCAGACGAGGAACGGAGCAAGGAGCAAGCAAGCAGCAAGCAAGACGATGCAGGATACGGAAGAGGTCCGAAGCTGAGATTAGATATATAGACCCCACCACAAGGCAGGAAATCAGCCGCAGGGAAGTTAGTTAAATCTCGTCTTCGTCTGGAATCATTATTAGGCCAAAGTTCCAGCTGATATTTCCAATTAACGTCAGCAAATGGCCAATTTCTTCGTAAGGAAGAGGAGTTTTTAGCGACCTTTCCATCGCGGGATTTCCTAACCCCACACCTCTACTTTGCCCTCGAGCACCTTGACCACACTGGCTGCGCGCTGTCTGCGCTAAATACACATCCCTGAATATTGTCACCGACCTCCCTGAGGATTTCTGTGGATTTGGGAGGCCTGCGTGTGAGCCGTCGCTGACAAGCACCTCTGACAAGAAGCTAGAAATGGGGACGGTGTTGCCCCCAGACTTCAAAGCTCGTCTCAAGAACCGCTCCGTAACACTCAGGCAGCAACACCAGCTTGTGAGAGTATAAAAGAACGGACAAAATGGTTAAATTCCCAGCACGGAAAGCCAACAATCCTTGGGTCTAACGCAAATTTCTCTCGGATGAAACAAGTGTCAAACTATTCCCGACTACCGAAACCCAAAAGGTTTATCTGAGCTCCGAGAGCTTTTCACGCCACTTCCTTTCCGCAGAAAACAACTGAAGGTTTTTGTTTCCTTTGGTCTTCCACAGTGTCTAGTTATTTATTTATTTATTTATTTATGGGGGTTTTTTTCACTCTTACAAACACCTTGAGGCAAGAACTTCCCTGCGGGAGAACACCTATTGAATTCTGGGAGAAATCGCTCATTAAGCCAAACATTTTTCAAAGCCATTTAAATGAATCCAGAAATATGGAGAAGGCCTAATTAACGAGGGGTAAAGGGTGGGAGAAAAAAAAAGACTTGAAACAGATCGCAATCTGAGGCTCACCTCCTCCAGGATGGGTGTGGGAAGGGGGGAAAAAACCTGCGGGAGAACACCTATTGAATTCTGGGAGAAATCGCTCATTAAGCCAAACATTTTTCAAAGCCATTTAAATGAATCCAGAAATATGGAGAAGGCCTAATTAACGAGGGGTAAAGGGTGGGAGAAAAAAAAAGACTTGAAACAGATCGCAATCTGAGGCTCACCTCCTCCAGGATGGGTGTGGGAGGGGGGGAAAAAAAGAAAAAAAAAAACCCAACCACCAACAAAGAAACACCACACACATAAATCCCACCACAAAACTCCCTTCTGCTTCTCCTGAACTCAGGGCTGAAGCTACGCCACAAGCCAAGCTAAACACCACGAGAGTTTTATTTTACGGAGCGTGGATTAACGCTCTGGTTTGTTAACGGGCGGGAAAAAATTCTGCACCGAAGGACAGGGCAAGTCTTTCGGGGGGGTTGTTCAAATCACGTGCCTTTCGTTCTTATTCGAAGAACAATTTGATTTCCTACAACTTCTTCTATTATATCCTCACTTTGGTAGGGAATTCATGAGGAAAAGCAAATTTTACCGACGCATGCAAGGCTGTTAAATTCTATTATTTACACATCTAACATCTCGGGGGGGGGCTTGTCGGTTCGTTCAGTAATCCGCAAGCAAATCAAGGCGGCGGATTCGATATTCCACGTGAAGCATCCGGGCAGGTATTAAAAACTATTTCAATCCACAGAATAAAATCTACCATTGAAGGCAACGGTGAAAGGCTCAGCGGGGAGATGAACACAGGAGCTGGAAGGATTTAAATAAATTCCGAACTTGATTTCCACCCCACCTAGACCAGCTTTCCCATCTATTCATTGTTTCACTACCAGTCACGTAGTCATTTCCAGTTTCTACTCTGTCAAACCCCGCAAGTAATGCCTTAATTCCTGAATCACTCCCAGATTATCTTCAATCTCGAAACCTGCTCCTGCTGCAAAGCCTTCTCTTACCCGCAGAGAAAAAAGCCAAATAAAAGGTCTACTTGCAGAGGTTTTATTTGAACATCTATTAAATAAGTAGTGGTTACAGAACCCATTTAAACCAGGATGGCGACACAAAAGCCTGCTACTTACACACCTTGGTTGAAACTAGGAAACAGCACACGTTCTTCCTTTTTTTTTTCCTTTTTTTAAGGCGTTAAACTCAAGTTTAAGGTCAACCTTAGCTTTGAGTAGAAAAGAAAGGCAGAAGGGGGAGGTATGAAGCTCTGTTATCTCCGAGAAGGCACCGCGGACGACGGTTCGGAGAGATACTGGAAGTCAAACCGAAACGAACGTCGCCAAAAGCTCAGGCTTCCGAGTCACGCTCGCTGCGGAAGGTTTTTAAAAACGCGTCGCTTCGAGGTCCCCTAAAATTTCAACCGCTGCAAAAGCCAGAAGCACGGTCGACCACGTCGTTGGAAGGAAACGTTGCCCAGCCAAGGGAGAAATCAGGAAAATTTGATCCCGTCCACACGTTCTGCACGTTTATTGAGTCAACACCGACTTCTCTCACGCACCAAAGCGCAAGAGCTCTGCGGTGCCAGAGCGGAGCCTCTGGTCTGATTAAATCGCGGCGTGACCCACCATTGGGACGATTCAAAACTGCAAGACCCGCGTGGGATCGCGCAGGAATACCTCCAGATATCAACGATGGTTTGCTATTTTTATAAGCTTTAACCACAAGTTACAAATGTTTCGTCTTACCTAAAGACAGGCAACTTTCTAGAGCTTGTCTAAAAAAAAATTAACTTCAGGTTTCTGGTTTGTTTCTTTTTACAAAGAGAAATGTAAAATATTGAGCGCACCCAAGACACTTCATTCTGCTTCCTCCCGTCAAATTAAACACCGTGCGACGTTCTTCGACGTAACCAATTAACAAAGACCAGCGCACCCCAAGAGGTGACAGGCAACGATATTAAAAATTATCGTTTTAGCCACACTGTCAAGGCTCAGCTCACTTTCTACAACATTAAAGGAAGAGCAAACCCCCTCGCCTGCAGCAATTCGCTCGTGCAAATTCACATATTCTAAAGTTCCTAGTGGGCTGAAGCAATTATGTTACATAACGAACTTGCACGGAACTTTATTAAAAGACCCTAATTAACGCACGAGGAAGTTACCTGGAATTTTATCCCTCAGCAAAACTCATCTGATGCCAGCCTGTCCAGCCCCCTCCCCAATTCACAATGCCAAGCAAGTTTCCAGGCGAGATAGTAGCGTCGGTTTATTAAAAGCAACCTTCCTGGCAGACATTTCTGGACTTGGTTGCTTTCAAAAAAATAAATAAAATTGCTTTGGCAAACCTCCTTTCCTTTTTATTTTGAGTTTTGCTCTCCCCGTCAAACACATCTTGGAGGAAAATCTCAACGGCAGCGAGCTAGATGCTCCAAGAGCAGGTGGTAACAGGACAGACGCTGTCTTCTCCAGGTTTAAAACATCTCGGTTTTCAAAGCAGCTCTGCAGCACTGGCTAAAACTGAAGAAGGAGAAAGCGTGATCTCCCGGCTGTTAAAACTCTAATTCAGTCGCTCAAGCTCCCCCCTGGCAGACTGGGGTCTGACCTCGGGCCACAGAGCCACAGAGAGAAATAAAAATACTTTGGAAAAGGCAATTCTAAAGACTAAAGACACCTTCATTTGGTAGCGCAAGGCAAAACGTTTCTGACAAGCGCTCCCCTCCCCAGGTTGGGAAGGCAGGCCAGGGAAGTAAGACTGAAGACATACCCGAGCGTTTCGAGGAGTAATAGCACAAAAGACCACAGAAACGCCAGAATAAAACGAGTTGTTTGATCTTACGTTCACGGGAACCTAAGGCTGGGCAGCTGCTGACTAAAGCCTCCTCTGGGGAGCCGCCCTCGACGGGAACAGGCCACATTTGTTTGTCGGGAGATCAAAACCGCTCCGCAACTGTCAAAGATCTTTCCTCCAAGATTTGTTTGCAACTACTTGAACTCATCCTCTAAGCTGTTCAGAGATTGAGAAGAGAAATCACTACATGAAGAGCACAAAATAACACATTTTCAGGCCTTCAAAGGAGTTCAGCACTTGGCATCTTATTTGACTTGCAACAAAAACACGGTTTTTTACACATATAGCTTATACCACCCCGGTGTATGGCCAACACCAAGCAACGGCGAAAGGTTAATTTCCAGACTGGTATTTAATCTTCTATTTATGGCAACAGTTTGGATTCGTTTCTCAGAATCTATTTCTGTTTCCTACACAACCTGACCAACTCCTTTGCGAAGACAGAGGACTGCTTCACCGTGCCCTCGTAAAACGAAGTCGGAGTCAACCACCAGCACCTCGGAATAATCGTTATCATCAGGCAGCGCAGGGATGAATGCACCCCCTAAAGAAAATAAATTTATTTTACATACTAAGGCAGCAGGGTTCAAGGAGCATTGCCAGATTTAAGCAGGGGAGATGCAAGTAACAGACTCATGGAAATACAAAGTAACACCTGCTCCATTTAAACTTCTTTTTTTCCATCCTCCCTCGGACAGGCAAACCAAAAGGCAGCCAAATCACTCAAACTAAAACTTCATTTGATCCGAGAAAGCCTCCAAGAGGTTGGTTATTTCTTGCACGGAAGGCGAGGTACGTCCTCAAAATTTAGATCTCGCTTCTCAGAGCTTGCTCTGCGCTCTAATTCCCTTTGGAAACAAAGGACCCATAAGCCTACAGAGAACATAAAACTGACTATCCCTCAGGAAGTCTTGCTTTTAAAGATGGAGGTAAAGGACTCCCTAGAAACAAACACAAAAATTAAATTAATCTGACTGTCACTGGAAACTCTCCGGCATTTATCTTACTGTGAAACCACCAAACAAACTTCAAAGGGATGTCTGTTCGCCCCGTGGCTACACCTAGGCTGGAGAAGCTTTTGTAGTTAAACTGAACAGTCTACTAGGATCCGTGGAAAGTGGTGTCGACTACTTGGCTTTTTTTAATCTTGAGGAGTAAAAAAAAAGGGAGAGCAGTTCTCGCTCGCTTTTTTCCCACGAAGAACGAATGCATCAGACCGGAATATTAACTCACTGCTGCTGTGAACGCAGTCATTTCATGCCGGAGTTGAAGAAACATTTTTCACCAGGCAAACGCTCCGGGGGGTTACAGACACTAAAGAGATTTTACTGACAAGGAGAAGAGGGGTAAAGAGAGCAGAAGCTGAGAGATCCACGTTCCAAGTCCCCACTTCCCCCAGACTTTTACAGGGCTTTGGAAGCCCGATCGAATCTTTTGGCAAGACAGCAGCACCCCCTACCTCATAGCAGAGCAAATAAATAACGCTTGAAAACAAATAAATCGTGATGCTGATTTACTACTGTCCACAAACAGGTTATTACAGGAAAGTCACTTCAAAAAAGTACATTTCTCAGAAAACTTTGCCTGCACTGAGACAACAGCAGTTCCGACTGATTGGAAATACGGTTCCCACAAGCACAGCAGCTGGATTTACCAGAAAAATCCGAGCACAGTAACATCCTGTCTGCAAAGCGAAAGAATATTCTCAGATTTTCACGCTGCAGGTCTCAGATTATCACTCTGCAGGTACGGGGAGGATATTAGACAGGCCTTTGTGGCAAAGAGAGGCAAACTATTCAGAAAGAAGACTTCTTATTCTGGAGGGTCACCAAAAAAATTGCCTTCCAGCTCACCTCCGCTGCAAGCTGAGCGGTCGCTTTACAGCCGGGGCAAGATGGGCATTAAGAGAATTCCCGCCTTCTTTATACTAGAAAAGACCACGTGTGTTCCCGGAGGTTGCTAAAAGAACCCTCTTTGGCCTCAGCACCATCACAACCTTCTCGACTTTCATCCCCATCGCTGGCACCGTGAATATTCCTTCCTCCGGAGACCGACTCTGACATGCACCGGAGCTACAGGCACCGCAGGCCAGACCCGCCGCACGTCCGACCTTCCCGGGAGTTACCTGACGCGGGGATTAAAGCCTGAAGCAAGGATTTATCCTGAGAACGCTGCGCTGCTTTCGCATTTGTCCTACATTCCGCCCCACGATTTTTTACGCGCTGTTCCCTAGATCAAAAAAGTTTTGTGTTACTCTAGTAAGTCTCTCCTTTCTCAAACACAGCTCCAGAAGAATTAAGTTCTTCTCCATCGCGGTTAAAAATTACGGTTTTCTCCATCACCATCAACAATTAGATTTTTCTCCATCAACAATTAGATTTTTCTCCGTCACCATCAACAATTAGATTTTTCTCCACCACCATCAGCAAGGACTCTGCAAGCCAAGCCAGGCCTCTGGCGTCGCCTGCGCGAGCCTACGACGCTCAAAGGAAAACACAGATGGAATCGGAGTTCTTCCGACTGCTCGTACAAGATGAAGCAATTCGAAGTCGAAGTGAATCATCCTGAAGATGTTCAAACTTAAAACGCAGCCTGCATTTTTGTCATTGTCCCACACTTGCCAAAAAAAACCCAGAAAAAAGCGTGGCATGACTCTCGAAGCGGTCGTGCCAAATCTGGACTAGGCAGGCTTTTAGGGAATATTAATCTGTACCAACCAAATCCCACTTTGTACCCAGCGACATATTTTAACAACGCACTGTTTATTAACATTCTTTTTTTTTTCCCCAACAGAACTAGAGTGACATAACACTGCTGAATGTATTCGGCCTGCTCTACTTACTGGATCAAAACAGATTTTCATTTGTTTTAAATATAGCTGGGCTGAAATCTGCCTCATAGCTGTAACAGAATGAAAAGGAGGG